ATTTCAAACCAAGAAGACATGTCCAATGAAAATGCCCACCCTCCTGTTGGTGATTTTTTTGGCTTTTTTGCTGCCAGTGCCGGAAGTTTTCCCACTCTAACTCCTCGAAAAAAAACTATGCAACGATTTATTTCCATTTGTTTGTGAAACTGGTTAGCAAGGCGTTGTAAATTTAACAGAAATAAAAAACGGGACTTTTTTGCGAAAAGAAAAAATGGTCGATGAAATAAAGCATCTTTGTGCAATGGCCAAGGCAACTAATTTTTGGTTGGATGATTTTCTAGCATTAGCAGATATTAAATAATTTCTGGAAAGACGTTTTTATTCACAGGGAATTTGGTATAGCAAATTATAGCCACTTCGATGCGAAAATTCGATTAAAAACTTAATAATAATGAAAATGAAGCGGGACCTTTCTATGGGGTGTATATTAGAAAATCGACCGATACCGAAAGCTGTCTCAAAAAATTGTTCTTTTCGCTTTCCTAGAACCCGAACTTCTAAATTTCAGTAACTTCAGTGGAAAATTTGGCTTAAACCTCCAACATATCGGGATCTTTATATATAAAGCCTATGTGAAACTAATTTGAAAATTTGGTGGGAAAAAATTCCGAATATGCGGCAGTACCTTTATGTCGGAGGTGATGTCAAAATATGGACACATAATTTTTATTTTCTGTGCAGATGTTTACCAACTTCTGTAAGCCTGAAATGCCAAATTTGAACGATTTCAAATTGGAAAATCCCTCGAAATATCGAAAAACGGGTGGGACATTTATATGGAGGCTATGTCAAAACATGGATCTATAATTGTGATTTTTTATACAGATATTCACTAGCCTCCAAAAAAACCGAAATAACAAATTACAGACAGTTCGGTGGAGAAAAGCGGCTAAACCTTCAAAATATCGAAAATCGGTCGATACCGCTGTATGATATATATACCAAAACTTAAACCGATATTTAAAATTTTTAGTAGGAAGATTTGACACCCTCTGAGAACCTTTAAACCCCAATTAGAGCCAATTCGGTTGAAAATTGTGCCCAAGCCCCTCAAAATACTGAAAAAGGCGATGGTACCCGAACATGAGAGCTATGTCAAAACTTGACCTAAATGAGTAATTTTTCTGTACATATGTATGTCAGCCCTCAAGGACCCTTAATAACAAAATACTGCCACATCGATGGATAATTGCGGCTAAAGGCCTGAAAATACCAAAAATTCGACGGTACCTTTGTATGGAGGCTATACCAAAACGTAAACCGATTTTGATAATTTTTGGTAGGAAGATTTGTGACTTCATGAGAAGCTGCAAAATAAAATTTCAGCCAATTCGGTTGAAAAATGTGCCCTAGCCCCCTCCAAATACCAAACAATGAGCGGATACCTTTATATAGGAACTATGCCAAATCTTAACCTAAATTTATTAGCGCACACATTAGCGGGAATATGCGGCTAAAACCATCAAAATACCAAAAATTGGACGATACCATTGTATGGGGAGTTATACCAAACAGTAAACCGATATTGATCATTTTTGGTAGGGAGGTCTTCTGAGCCATGAGAACCTGGAAAATCAAATTTGAGCCAAATCGGTAAAAAAACGTGTCCAAGCCCCCCAAAATACTGAATAATGCGGCGGTACCCATACATGGGAGTTTTGCCAAACCTTGACCTAAATTGATCATTTTCTGTATTTATGTATGTCAGCCCTCAAGAACCCTTTATAATAAATTTCAGCCACAATCAATGGACAAATTCAGCTTCAGACCTCAAAATTCCAAATCTTATATGGGAACTATACCAAAACGTAAACCGATTTTGAAAATTTTTGGTAGGAAGATTTGATACCACAGAAGAACTTGAAAAATAAAATTTGAGCCAAATCGGTTGGAAACTGCCCCGCAAAATACCGAATAATGAGTGGGTGACCTAATATGGGAGCTATACCAAACCTTGACCTAAATTTATCATTTTCTGTATATATGTATTTCAGCCGCCACAACACTCGAATGCCAAATTACTGTCACTTCGGTGGGGAAATGCGGCTAAAAACCTAAAAATACCATGGGAGCTATATCAAAATATAAACCGATTGGGATAATTTTTGGTGTGGGGATAACAAATATCGGAGAAGTTCTCTACCCAAAGGGAATCCAAAATATGAATTTACAGCCAATTCGGTTGAAAAATGTGTTCAGCATCCCTAAAACACCGAATAAAAAGGGATAGCGCTCTATGGGGCTACCCGGAATCTTGGGACAATATTTAAAATTTTTGGTAGGAAAATTTGCTACTCAATGAGAACCCTAAATACCAAACTAAAGCCAATTCGATTGAAAAATGTGCCCAAGCACCCCAAAATATCGAATAATGGTGAGTTCCGCTCTATGGAGGCTTACCGGAAACCTTGACCAATATTTGTAAATTTTTGGTTGAGATATTTTCCACTTAGTGAGAAGCCATTATGTTAAATTATAGCCTCTATGGAGGCTAATCGGAAACTTTGGCCAATATTTGAAAATTTTTGGCTGGGAGATTTTCTACTCAGTGAGAAGCCATTATGTTAAATTATAGCCTATTTGGTTGAAAAATGCGTCCAATGTCCCAAAATATCGAATAATGGTGAGTTCCGCTCTATGGGGGGTACCCGAAAACTTCGGCCAATATTTTAAATTTTTGATTGGGAGATTTTCAACCCAGTGAGAACCGATTACGCCATATTATAGTCTATTTGACCCCCAAAATACCAAATAATTCGGGTTTCCGCTCTATGAAGGCTACCCAGAAACTTGGGTCAATATTGATAATTTTTTGATAGGAAAATTTACAACCCGATGTGAACCTAAAGTACCAAATTACAGTCAATTACATTGAAGAACATATCAAATATTCCTAAAATAACGAATATTGGGAATGTACCGCTAAAAATTTAATATTTTTCAATATCAAACATCCTAGGAATAATAGCAATATTTGTGGAAATTTTCAAAGCTCTATTTTCCAATATTGCAGGCTTTAACGTGATTTCAACTGACACAGACGGGCCTAAATTGATAAATAATTTTTTTCCGATCCATAATATGTATACTTAATGGGGTCTTAGGTGAATATTTCCAGGTGTGGTAAATGGAATAACAAATTTAATATACATTACATCTTGTCAAAGACTTAAGCAAGAAACTCGATAATTTTCTCTATAACCTTTCTCATTAGTAACCTCTCTCTTTCTCTTTCCGTAAAAATACTTATAAGGGATAAACTCAGAGTAATAACAAATACTTATGAAGGAAACCGTTATCTTTCTCTCTCCATTAGTCTTATAGGAGTCTTGTAAATACAAAAGACTTAAGAAACAGACTTTTTCCAATATCTCATTATTGAGTATTTAAATGTAACTAGGAGAGAAAGAATGTCAATAAATCGAAAGACTTAAAAAACAAACTCAGTATTGCTTCTATGTTTCACATGTGAAACAATAGACTTAAGAAACGAACATGAAATGTGTGTGGCTTTTGAAAGAGATAAACTGAGGATTGATTTCACAATATTTAGTATATTTTTTATATATAAAAAATAACATTATAAATATATTTTTTTTAACGAAAAAGAATATAAATAATATTTTATATATTGAAAATATTATTGATATTATTTTTTATTTATAAAAATATTTTTATATTTTTTATTTATATAAAAATGTTATTTTTTCCATATCAAAATAATATTTTTTCTATAAAAAAAATTATATTTTTTTGGTTATTTCTTTTTTCATAGAATAACATGTAAATCTAGTTGGATAAATTTTTAAATAGAGTTAATAATTTCACAAATATATTTTTAGCATATTGTAGATCATTTTGTTATTACAAAAAAATCCACATGTTATCAAAGCTGTGATAAATGTGTTGCCACAATTTGTTTCTTAATCGGAAAATGACTTTTTTTCAAAATCCATGGATTTTGTCATACCATTCTCTATTGCATTGCGTGAGATATGTCCCAATAACTTAATTTTTCGGTCTGTTTTTTTCTTATATAAACTCTGTAGTGTTAGTTTTTTCCTTCTTGCCCCAAGTCACTAATTTTTTTCATTGAACCGTATACTAATTAGGTGTGAATATGAAAGAAAAAAATTGAGAAAAAAATAAAATAATGACGTTGTCTACCTTAACATGTAAATCGAACTGGGGTGGCAAAGACAAAAAAAAACAAGAAATGAAAAACAAGTCAAACTATCTCAACATTTTATGCAAATTTGTTAGTTCTCAGGGAATTAGCTGCAGGTTTTTTTTTTTGCTGTCAAAAGAAAATGAAAAATACAAGAAATAAGACATGAATTGAAATAAATTGAAAAAATGAAATAAAAAAATAAAATCAAAACAAGAAATCATAGTCATGAGACAGCGTGGTAAGTTAAAGAACCAGGCAATTGTTGTTGTTGTTTTCCGACTGCAATTGTCTCGATATAATTTTTAACAGCAGGCGTTTCAGCGGTTTTTGTTTTTTTCTGTTTTCTTTCCCTACCAAATAAAGCCAAAGCCGGCCGTAATTAAAATTGGCCTGGGAGTGGTGTGGCCAACACTCATAACTAGAGTTGTTAGAAAAAATTCAGCGGCAACAAAGCATAACTTGGCTATTTTATTTATGGTCCACATAAAAATAAACTTTGTAGTTAGGTTTTTAATTAAATTACACTAAATGCGTTAATTACCTTTTGCAGTTATGACCTTAAACTCTTTTTTGTTGGAATTTTTGGCATTAAAGTAAATTTACAATGACAATAAAATTTAAATAGCGTATAAATATGGAGGGTATTTTATTTACATAAATTTGAAAACACACATGTGTGGTCTATAAATTTAGTTTTCAAATGTAATGGACATTGACCCAAACTGATTTGCAAAAAAAAAAAAAAATACGAACGAGATGTTTTATTTAGTACGTGTACAGGGGCAAGTTTGTTGCCTAAGTCTTTTGATTTAATTGAGATAAAGAGATGACTTTCAAGGTAAATATAGAGCAAATATTTAACATATAATAAAATAAATAATTGAATTATTTTTTTATGGGGCCTTAAAGGGATGTTTATCATAAAAAAATTGGACTTCGTACTCAAAAAATCTCTGACTTTTTATTTTTTTTAACCAAAAAATTGCTTACCAATATAGGTAATTGTCCTTGTTTTTCTTTTTAATTTATCATTAGGATATATATGTTTGTCCATAACAATTTCCGTAACGTTTGTTTTAAGTTTATGTAGCTGTTTTTTTTTTCAAGACACTTGTAATTGGCTTTTGTGTGAAAAAAATGGCCAGACAAGTTCATTGCTACCCCAATGGAGTTTGAAGATTAACTAAAAGAAGAAACCTCCCCACACACATACACACTCTCACACATATATACCCTAATATATTTAAAGCCTGCAGCCTATTAGTCATATTTGTGTAAACAGCATTTTTTTTCAAATGCAAGCCCATGGCTTAAATGCCTATTATAATTACTTTTGAAAAGAAAAAAAAACACACACAAGTGTTAATTATTTTGGCATATCCAATAATTTAGAAAATGTGTGTGTACGTTCGCAAGCTTCCTCTCTCTCATTAGTTGTGTTAAGTCCATGGGTGCCACGAGTAATTAATTAAATGGACTAGGCACCAAGCCAAGGCAAAAAAAGATATAAAAAATTGCCTTTGGTTTCAATTCTAGTTCCAACAATATGTTATACATTGGTTAAATTAAAACTTAGCAATCTGGTGTGTCAATATCAATTTAAATATTGCAACACATTTAATTGCTAATAATTTTATGGCATTACAAATGAAATTAATAATAGAAGATCAAAAATAAATCAATAAACTTATTTTTTTCGTATAGAGATTTTTTGATATAATAATTTTTTTCTATAAGAAGAAATCTCTTTATGATATTTTTTCTAAATAAAAAATAATTTTTTTCTATACGAAATAAAAAAATTGAATAAATTTTAAAATAAAATATTTTTTTCTATACCTAAAATATCACAAATAACTTTTATATAAGAAGAAATCTATTATTGATATTTGTTGTAAATCAACAATTAAAAATTATTTTTTATACGAAATAGAAAAATTTTGGATTTTTTTGCAATAAAAAAAATTAAATATTATTTTTTTATACTAAAAGAAAAATTAAGAAATTTTTTTTGCACTAAAAAATTAAATTACTTTTTTCTATACCTAAAAAATCACAAATATATATTTTTTTAATTAAAAAAATTATTTCTGATAATAATATTTTTTTAGCACAAAAAATTTCTAGTTAAAAAAATATATCATTTTTATCAAAAATGTTCGATTATGATATTTTATATTTCCCATAATTTCTAAATATTTTTTTCTGTGAATATAAAATATCATCAGGGTTGCATTTTAAATCATTATTAATTTTTATTCAATAACTAATCTCTCTTTCAATGACCACAAACATTTCATGTTCGTTTATTAAGTCTTTCGTCTTCTATGAGAAATTAAATTATTGTTTGAGTTCGTTTCTTAAGTCTTTCCATTTACTGTAAATATTCTTTTGTAATTACATTTAAATAATTTTTAATGAGAGTAGCAGAAGATGTTCGTTTCTTAAGTCTTTTGTTTTTATTTAAACGTCTACAAGAGAGTTGTGATTGTTTGCTTTTGGGAAAGAGAAATGACAATTTCTCTCAGTCATTGTTATTCATCTGAGTATATTTTCTCTCTACATTTCCAATTAGAAAAATAACAGTTTGTTTCTTAAGTCTTTGATAATATCCTCTGTATATTCACTGAGAGAATTAAAGAGAGAGGTTACAGATTGAATAGTCAAGTTTGTTTCTTAAGTCTTTAGATTCATTCGAAAAATGGGGTATATGAACAACTTTGATAACAAAAAAATATTTTTTCTATGGAAAAATAATATTTTCCATAGAGAAAATAGAAAAAAATTGAACAAAATTTTATAAATTTTCTATAGCAAAAATTATAGAAAAAAAAATTATTATTTTTGAATTTTTTATAGAAAATAATTTATAATTTTTTCTGTAGAAAAATATAATTTGTCTGTAGAAAAATTTTTTCTACAAAAAAATATAATGTTTTCTATAAAAAAAAATAATGTTTTTTAGAAAAATATAATTATAGAAAAATATAATTTAAAAAATATAATATAGAAAAATATAATTTTTTTTTATAAAAAAATATAATTTTTTTTTATTTCCTATTAAATAAATTATTTATAGAAAAAAAATATAAATATCATTATATTTTAATACAATTTAAAAAAAAAAATGTATAATTTATTTTGTTCATCGTCTCAAGGCTCCCATCTTCATTTTTTTCTATTCGCTCGTCCATCTAATGACCATTGGATTTGCAATAGATCATCGAAATAGTTCACATGTATTTGTAATGGCAACTGGTTTTCCAATTGACTTTGTCTTATGTCGGTCTGTCTACCTCTAATTTTTTTTTTTTTTTTTTTTTTTGCTTGGCTTATTTTTTACTTATATGTTTTCTTTTTTTATTGTGAAGACCACAACAGCCGCTGCAATAGAAATGTTGCATGCATGCGTTTTATTTCTGATTTGTTGTGTAAGTTTGTTGTTGCTGTTGCCGTTTTACACATATTCATATTTAACCGAACAAAATTGTAGGCTGTAATTTTGGTTAGATTTTAGTTGTGGTGGCTGTTTGTTAGTTTTTGTTTTTTAAATGACAGCGTCAGAAAGTTGCGTCATCTGAAAAAATAGGAAAAAGAGAAGCAAAAAAACAGAAAAAAACGAAAGGAGAAAGAAAATAAAATTAACAGCTGTTGTGGCCAGAGTTTTGACAGAAATGCGACATGCAACCAACCGCAAATTAATTAGGAGACAACATTAAATAACAAAATAATTAATAATATAGAAAAATATTATTTTTTTTTTTTTTTTTAGAAAATATATTATTTTTTTATAAAACATATTATTTTTTCTATAGAAAAATATTAATTCTTTATTAATTTCAATATAACAAATTTTTTTTTTATAGAAAAGTATTAATTTTTTTCTATACAAAAATATTAATTTTTTCCTATAGAAATAAAATGAAAATTATTATTTTTTTTCTATAGAGAAATATTAATTTTTTTCTATAGAAAAATATTTTTTTTCTATAGAAAAAATATTAATTTTTTTCTATAGAAAAAATATTATTTTTTTATTAAAAAAAATTTTTTTCTGTAGAAAAAATATTAGAAAAAATAATTTTTTTTTTATAGAAAAATTTTATTTTTTTTATAGAAAAAAACCTATATATTTTTTTTTAAAAAAGTATTAATTTTTTTGCTATAGAAAAATATTAATTATTTTTTCTTTTATAGAAAAATATTAATATTAAAAATTATTAATATTTTTCTATAGAAAAATTTTAATTTTTTATAAAAAAAATAAAAATTTAATTTTTTCTATAGAAAAATTTTTTTTTAATTAAAATTTTATTTTTTTCCATACAAAAAATATTAATTTTTTTCCATACAAAAAATATTAATTTTTTTCTATACAAAAAATATTAATTATTTTCTATAGGATTTTTTTTTTCTATAGACAATATTTTTTTTTCTATTTTTTATATTTTCCTCCCTCTGTGACCAATAATAATATGTTTGTTTCTTAAGTCTTTTGATTGCATTAAAAACTTTGAGGGAATGTTCATCAAGTTCGTTGCTTAAGTCTTTCATTTATTCATATACACTCCATCTCAGTCCTGTAGTAATAAAAGGCCACAAGATGAAAATTAAGAAGTTCGTTTCTTAAATCTTTTGTTTTGTTTAGAAATGCCTCTCTATTCACCCCCAAATAGCCACTAAAGGGAAAAGAGAAAAAATCTCCCTGAGAGTCTCTCTCTTTGAATTGTGAAAACATAGCGGGAATTCTGTGATGTTTGTTGCTTAAGTCTTTAAGGTATGCTCAAAGGGAACTCTTCTCAGTGGTACTGAGAGAGCAATAACGGTGATCTATGACTAATGAGAATACTATCTCTTAAGTTTCTCGTTTAATGGGGAGATTTTCTCTTCCATCCCTAACAAAAGGAAGGCAAATTTATGTGTATTAAATTAAAAAGTTTCTTTCTTAAGTCTTTCATTAAAAATTGTCTTTTTAATGATTTCTTGTGTGCATTCACTTCCTCATTCTTCTTACCAGTTTTTATTTCACCCAAAAATCAAAGATAAGCTTCCTGACCGAAAAATACCCCCATAAGTTTTGGGGAGGTTATAAGAAAGAGGTGGTGGTTTTTGAAAATTATTACGTGGTGGTCGGAACATTGTGTAAGACCATGCAAACATACTCAGACACACATACCCAAATTCGAACTTATGCAAACTTTGCAGACCACCTATATTTCCTGTTTTATCTTGACTGGAAATTATGCCAGCGGGACAGAAAGGTTAGGCAAACTTTGGGTAACCAAAAAAAAAAATCATCCAAATTAACCTGTCAAGGAATTGGTTTAGTGAACCAGATTTCCAGTAAAAAGACAAATGAAGGTTTGAGTTTATGTGGATCTGGCAACACTTTGTCGAATTTCCTGCCCCCTCCTTTTGTAAATAAAGAAGAAGTGCAAAACAAAAGATCAAAAACATTGAAAAATCAAATCGAAAGTTTACGTTCAATGCACGTTGCAGCATTGGCCGAACATTCAGCCTAACATCCAATCAGCCAAGCGATCAAAGCACATGGCTAAATGGACAAGATTGACTTGTTGCAGGCAATGGTCAATGCAATGTGGCCATTAAAATGAATTGTTTGTTATTGTTTTTCTTTTTTCAACTTACGTATACGTAATAAGTTTTTTTCAATTTTTTTATTTATTTGTTGTTTGTTTTTGTTTATTTGTCATTCCAGTGCTGTTTATTAGTTTTACTTTTAACGGAATATGGTCATGCAGCCAATAAATCTTCAAATACCAAAGATACCAAAGCAACATCGACAGCAACAGTAGCAGCATCAACCACTACGACGCCGACTACGTCGCCAATACCAGCCTCAGCAAAGTCCAACGACAAACTCTCATATCCCAAAAAGGTCAACACTTCAAAGAAACGTCCATCGAAATCTACGTCGCTCAAGAAGGTAGCCGATATAACGGATAAATTTAAAGATTTGCCCGCAGATGATTTGGCCTTTATCAAAGAACTGGACAAACAATTTAAACAGCACGGCGGCAAGGTGAAAATCAAGGTAGAAAATGATAATGCCACCACGGTGTCAACGTCGAAGAACAGTAAGAGGACCATTGAGGGGGAATTGGGGTGAGTAAAATGGAAAAAAACATATATATTTTTATTTAAAAAAAGAAAATTTGTAGAAAATAATCAAAATTTGTTTCTAATAGGAAAAAATTTAATTTTTCCATATAAGAAAAATTAGATTTTTAATAGGAAAAAATTCTCATTTTTTCTAATAGGTAAAAATATAAATTTTTTTCTAATAGGAAAAAATATAAATTTTTTTCTAATAGGAAAAAATATAATTTTTTTTTTAAAAGGAAAATCGACATTTTATTCTTTTTGGAAAAATTGAAATTTTTTCTTATTTGAAAAGTAATTTTTTCTAATAGGAAAAATTGGATTTTTCTTAGCGGAAAACTTAATTAATTTTTTTCTAATAGGAAAATCGACATTTTATTCTTTTTGGAAAAATTGAAATTTTTTCTTATTTGAAAAGTAATTTTTTTCTAATAGGAAAACCTGAAATTTTTTTCTCATGGGAAAAATTGATTTTTTTATAATTTTTTTACAGAAAAAAATGAATTTTTTCTTAATTTTTTATTTGTTTCTTTTAGGAAAAAATCAATGTTTTTTCTTATGGGAAAAATCTGCCTTTTCTGATTGGGAAAAATCTGTATTTTTTCAGATAGGAAAACAGTATTTTTTCAGATAAGATAATTTCTATAATAAGAAAAAATTATATTTTTCCAATAAGGAAAAAATCGTATTTTCCAATAAGGATAAAATAACAATTTTCTTAGAAGATAATTTTCCTAATAAGAAAAAATTGACATTTTTTTCAATAAGGAAAAACTGGTCTTTGTTCCAATAAGGACATATTTATATATTTTTCCAATAAGAGAATTTCTTTTCATTGGAAAAAAGGGAAAATGTATTTCTTTCTTATATAACAAAACGTATCATTTCTTGTCGGAAAAACTGTATATTTTCTGATAGGAAAAAAATTTATATTTTTCTATAGGAATCAAATCGAAAATGTTTTTTTATAAGATCAAACTTATATTTTTTTATAGATAAAATTTGATTTTTTTCTTACAAACATTTTCTTATTTTTTCTTATAGGAAAAAATCAATGTTTTTTCTTATAAGAAAAAAAATTTTTAGTTTTTCAAATAGAACAAAATCTGATTTTTTTTCTGATTGGAAAAAATCTGTATTTTTTCAGATAGGAACAAATTGGATTTTTCCAAACAGGAAAATTATTTTAATAAGAAAAATAAACAAAAAAATTTGTTTTCCCCATAAGGAAAAAATTGGTATTTTTCTTAGAGGATATTTTTTCTAATAAGGAAAAAATTTGCGTTTTTCCAAAATGAAAAACAATTCGTGTTTTTTCCAATAAGAAAAACACTAATATTTTTTCCAATAAGAAACCAAATTTTACTTTTTGCAATGAGAAAAAAATTATTTTTCCAATAAGAAATTTATTTTTTTGCAATGATAAAAAAATTATATTTTTCCAATAAGAAAAAAATAGAAATTTTTCTTAGAAGATTTTTTTAATAAGGAAAAATTTGTGTTTTTTTTCAATAAAAAAATTGGAATTTTTTTAAATCAGTAATTTTTCTAATAAGAAAAAACGATGTTTTTTTTATTCTTACAAGAAAATATTGTCAGGAAAAATGGAAGAATTTTTTATAATTTTCCTATATATGAATCTGAATTTTTTTTTTTTTGTCTTATAGGAAACACGTTATTTTTTTCTTATAGGAAACAAATGATATTATTTCTTACAGGAAATAAAATATTTTTTTCTTATAGAAAAAATTAATATTTTTTTCTTATAGAAAAAAATTAGATTAGTTTTATTTTTTCCGATAGGAAAATATTTGTATTTTTCTTATTAGGAAAACAGGTTTAATTTTATTGGAAAAAATATCCCTTTTTATAGGAATTTTTTTTCTTATAGGAAAATATTTTTTTCTTATAGGAAAAAATCAGTTTTCTTATTGGAAAAATTATCCTTTAAAAAATAGTTTTTGTCTTATAGGAAAAAGGGTTTTCCTTATTATTATTCTTATTGGAAAGTCGGTATATTCGGATATTTTTCTTTCTTTATGGTAATGTTATTTATATTTTTCTTATTGGAAAAATCCATATTTTTTCTTATTGAAAAATTTGTTTCTTATGGGAAAAATCGGAATAATTCTCTTATAGGGTTTATTCTTATATGAAAGCACGGTCTTTTTTATAATAGTTTTTTTTATATAGGAAAAAATATATTTTCTTATAAGAAAAAAATCCGCTATGTCGGAGACTTCAGGTCTACTATATGTCTTAGTTCTGTAGGGTACCTTACAGTAATTTCCTCTAGTCTTCTCTATGGCCATATAAGGTCTCAAGACTTTATATGGCTATAGAAGACATCAGGTTTTCCACAAGACGTCAATCTTTATATAGAAGCAATAGAAGTCAGGTCAGGTATTCTATATGTTAATAGAAAACCTCAAGTCGCCGATATGAATGCAGAAGTCCTGAGATCTTCTATTTTTCTATTGCTATAAATCTTCTATATGGCTATGAATCCCTCAGACCTTCTTTATGGCTCTGGAATATTTAAATTCTTCCTGATAGCTATGGAAGCCTTCATATCTTCTTTATGGCTTCTGAAAACCTCAAAAATTCTAAAATTAATTTTCCCATTCTATATTTCCCCTCTTTCCAGCTATGGCTATGCACAAAACGGCTACGACTACAGTCCACCAAAATTTGAATTCTACCCCTATTCCCAGAAGGATATACCCAGTGATGCTCCAAAATATTTCTTACCCAATGGTAAGACTGAAGTTACCGTAGAACCTTCCTTCTCATATGAATTGAAACCCCAAACCTATGTTCAGCATAATGGTGGTAATGCTCAAGTCGATTTGCCACATCCAGGAGAGGAACAAGTTTTAAATGAGCCACAGCAGCACCACATCCCCGAACAGCCACACCAGCAACAACAATATGAAGAACCGGTTATTGTTTTACGTATACCCGGACCGGCGAAATATGCCTCACATTTGCAAACGTTGCTGCAACAATATTTGGAAATTCGTGCTGCACAATATTTGCGGATTTTGGAGGAAGCGGAACAGCAGCGTCAACATCAGCAGCACCACCAACAACATGAACAGCATCAGCAGCAACAGTTGCAGGAAATTGATTATGCTCAACATGCTGGTCATGTGGAAGATGTACCCACCCCAGCTCCCGTGGAATATAATCAGGAATATCAGCAACACCACCAACAACAGCAGCTGCAATATGAACCTCAGCCCCAATATCCCGCCATTGATGATGTCTATCAGACCTATAAATATAAACATCCCAATCACCCCGAACAGGCTCAGCAACCGGAAAGTCCAGTCCAAAGTTATTATCAAGCACCAGAACCGCAAAAACAACAACACTATGCCCCACAACCGGAACAGCCTCAGTATTATTATGCCCATCAACAGGAATATGCCCAGCCCGAAGGGCCACCAGCCATGTATCAGCATGTCTTCTTGATTTCCATGACTCCCCAGGCCGTCAACGATTATGAGCATCAACAACAATTGCAGCAGCCGCAACAACAACATGAAGAGCCATCACAACCCATCTATGTTCCCGCACAACCTGTTGCCGATTTGGGAGATCATCACGCCCTGCCCATCACGGAAAATAATCCACGCCCCTCCCACACCAAAGTCATCTTCACACATAACCCTGAACATGCTGGGACGGATTACAACAATATGTACCCCTTGCCCTCCATTAAGCCCAATGAACGCCATGCTCCCCACTCCGTCCCTGACTATCATCAGGACCATCAACAACAATTGCAGGCCTATCATCAGCAGCAGCAGGAATCTCAAGAGTCGCTGCAACACTATCAACACCACCAACAACAACAAGTTCAAGTTCCGCAAAAGCAAGCTCAAGAACAACCACAACAAGTCGTGGCCATAACCCAAAGACCCTTCAATTATCATGCCCATGGCACCAAGCCTCGGGCTCGTGGCCGCACAAATTACAAGCGCAAGGCCTCCGGCACTGCGGACACCACCAAAGCCGATCAAGTCCTGGAGAAAATCAACGATTATGTTCGTGAGAAATTTGGTGCTGAGACAGGTTCAGCGTCGGAATATAGGACCACCCAAGTGATAAGCAAGAAATGAGAGGGTGAATCGTCATCGTCATCTCAGAGAGAAGAGAATAACCAATGGTACTGATTTTTTTACTCATTTTTTTTAAATTAATTTTTCACTTTTCCTCCTCCCCCTCTTCTTCAATATTTTTATTTTCTTAGTTTTAATTCATTTTCCACTCTCTCACACATCTCATAGTTTATTAAATAGCGCGCCCACTCACCCTACACCACCCCCTATAATAATAAGAGATTTTTTGTTTAATAATAAAATTAAAAAAAAAATTGTATTAAAAATATATGTGCAATATTTAGTTAATAAGTTTTTTTATTGTTGTTTTTTTTCTGAATGTTTTTCGTTTAATGTTTTAAATAAATTAATAAAAAATAAATAAATAAAAATTATAAAAATATATGGCATAATGTTTAAAAAATATATAAAAAAATTATTTTTTTCTATAGAAAAAATTTTAAATTTTTTGTATAGAAAAAATGTTGAATTTTTTTCTATATAAAATTTTTGAATTTTTTCTATAGAAAAAATGTTGAATTTTTTTCTATAGAAAAAATGTTGAATTTTTTTCTATAGAAAAAATGTTGAATTTTTTTCTATAGAAAAAATGTTGAATTTTTTTCTATAGAAGAAATGTTGAATTTTTCTATAGAAAAAATGTTGAATTTTTTCTATAGAAAAAATGTTGAATTTTTTTCTATAGAAAAAATGTTGAATTTTTTTTATAGAAAAAATTTTGAATTTTTTTCTATAGAAAAAATTTTGAATTTTTTTCTATAGAAAAAAGTTTGAATTTTTTTCTATAGAACAAAATTACTAAGTACCTCAATGAGTACTCTTTCTACAGAAAAAATTCCCCAGTACCTCACAGAGGACTCTTTTTTCTATAGAAAAAAATATTGATATTAACTTTTTTCTATAGTCAAAAATATTGGATTTTTTTCTATAGGAAAAATATTGAATTTTTTCTATAGAAAAAATATTGATTTTTTTCTGTAGAAAAAATATTGAATTTTTTCCATAGAAAAAATATTGAATTTTTTTCAATATAAAAAATATTGAATTTTTTCTATAGAAAAAATATAGAATTTTTTTCAATAAAAAAATTTTAATTTTTTTCTATAGAAAAAATATTTAATTTTTTCTACAGAAAAAATATTGGATTTTTTGTATAGAAAAAATGTTGATTTTTTTTCTATAGAAAAAATTTTGATTTTTTCTATAGAAAAAATATTGATTTTTTTTTATAGAAAAAATATTGATTTTTTCTATAGAAAAATATTGATTTTTTCTATAGTAAAATATTGATTTTTTCTATTAAAAAAATATTGTTGAAATGTTTTTTTGTTTTTTTTTTTTTTTTTTTTGAGGCTACAATTTTTGGTCTATTTCGAATCAATGCCAATTCAGCAACAGGACTTTCAAATAACGGTTTGGACTTAATGGCGGAGATGTTCCTCATCAAATTCCATTATGGGTCGCCGACAACAAGAAATTTCTAGAGTCAATAAATAGCCTTTAAAATCGGTTTTGGTTTGAGGTTAGATTTTTTTTGCCACAATTTTTATTATATTTTAAGTCAAAGCCATTTTCAGATTTTCAAATAGCGGTTTGGTCTTAATTGAAGATATGTTTTTCGTCAAATTTCACTATAGGTTACCGACCACAAGAAAATTCTAGAGCCAATGGATGTCCTTATAAAACCTTTTAATTTGAGGTTAGAATTTTTTGATACAATTTTTAGGTTTATTTTGAGTCCAAGATAAATTTCTCCCTCAAGACTTTCAATAGGACTCAATGACAGAAATGTTCCTCATCAAATTCTATTATGGGTCACCGACCACAAGAAACTTGTAGTCCGAATATATATATATATCTATAATATTTCCCCTAAACAATATCAGGTCGAATCTGGAAAAAATCCATAAAATTTAAGAATTTTTTTATAAAAAATTAAAAAAAAAATGTATAAAAATTTCTCAATAGAAAAAATATTCTCCTTTTTCTTATATGGGAGAAATAAGAAAGTATATTTTTTTCCTAAAGAAAAAAATAAACTTTTCTATAAAAAATATAAATTTTTATATTGAACCATTTTTGCCTTGATATTTCAGTCTCCAAGATCTCAAAAATGTCAATTTACATCAACATGTGTTATGAAAAATGCGACTAAAAAATACCGAAAATGAGGTAAGAATTTTATAAGGGAGGCTATGGCAAAACATAGACACCCCTCATTGAACATTTTCTGCCAAGACGTTCGATTGGAAACATGAGGTAAGAGAGGTAAGAGCGTGCCATGATTACATTCATGAACGATTTTTAAAGAAATAAAAAAATCGGAATTCCCATTTTGATCCTCACTTTTCATGGCTATGCAGTTGAGCTAGAGACTTCAGATGTTAGGTTACCCATAGTGAAATTTGATATAGAATCACTCCTTCATTGACACAAACCACCTAAAATGAGGAGTTTTACAAATAATCGGCCCAATATGAAAACAATAAAGATAATAAATTAAAAAAAAATTAAAACAATATTTATTTTATATCCATATTTGTATGGATTTTTTTTATCGATATATAGAACAGCTACACATTTCTTTTGTTCTAGAACTTCTATTGAAATTTGAATATTTTCACCTTTCATTCCAACCCCCTAGAATGTGTGCTTCTTGGTCAAATTTGCAAAAAATCGCACAAGGGAATAAAATTACTTCCCAAAAAATACTTTTTTTATATATACAAATTATTATCAATATTTTTATAGCTATATACTATAGCTAGCGATTTCTTTTGTTCAGTGATTTATACTAAAATTTAGTGTAGATTATTTTCCCCTTTGACACCACCGCTCTAAAATAAAGAATTACGGCTCATTTTCTTAAAAAATGATAATAACTCAAGTATTTCTTTCCTTTATCATTTTCAGCCTAAAAGTATGCTTTACTTTTTCTGCATTGAGCTCCATATTGAAATTCCTGCGTTACACATTTAATATTTCATTAAATTTTAAAGCTTTAATTTTGTTTTTTTTTTTTATTTCATAAAAAGCTTTTTCCCCAAGCAACAACAACAAAAATAACAACTATTTATTGTTAACACACCAAAACATTTAGCACGCAACAAAAAAATGTTGGTAAGCAGCAACAATAGCAACAACTAAACAATTACATCACAGCCTATTTTACCACCCCTGATAATGAGGGAACGAGAAAATGAGCGCCTGAGTGTTATGGTCAAGGAACCCGACAGCGAAATGCGTTCATATTTCATGGATATAGAGTTGTGGCAGTCGATATAGAAATATTTTGGTTTGTTAACAAATAAAAAACAAAGAAGAAGCGTTTATAATTTATTAAATAATACAGAGAGCAGGGGTGGGGTGATCAAAATATTTTTTGGGGGTGGGGAGAAATAAAATTTGAAAGAAAATATTAAGAAAAAAATTATGATTTTTTTCTGGGAAAAATTATCGATTTTTCCCAACAGAAAACAATTATCAATTTTTTTCCTATAGAAAACAATTATCAATTTTTTCCTATAGAAAAAAATTATCGATTTTTTAAAGAAAAAAAATTGATTTTTTTAAAGAAAAAATTATTGATTTTTTTAAAGAAAAAATTATTGATTTTTTTAAGGAAAAAACGATTGATTAAAAAAATCGATCCAACTGGATGCAAAAACCTTGCTGAATATAAATTTTACATATAAAAACTTGGCTGAATTGAGCTTTCCATTAAAAACATACTGCTGAATTAATTTTTGTATGGGAAACCCCGCTGCTGAATAGAGTAATACCTAGCTGAATTCGAATTTTTCAATAGAAACTTTGCTGAATTGAGTTATTCTTCAGGAAAACTATTGCTGAATATCATTATTAAATTAAATAACCTAGCTGAATTGAGATTTCACATAGAAAAACTTCGCTGAATTGAGTTATTCTTTAGAAAAACATTGCTAAATTAATTTTTATGTACAAAAAACATTGCTGAATTGAGTAATACCTAGCTAAATTAGAATTTTTCAACAAGATTGCTGAATTGGGTAATACCTAGCTGAATTTGAATTTTTCAACAGGAGCATTGCTGAATTGAGTTAATTTTTAGAAAAAAATGTTGCTGAATTTGGTTTCTCTATAAAATAATCTTGCTGAATAGAGATTAGCCACAGAAAAACTTTGCTGAATTATGTTATTCTTTGGAAAAACATTGCTGAATTAAATTTTATATGGAAAAGTCCTTGCTGAATTGAGTAATACCTAGCAGAATTAGTATTTTTCAGCAGGAACTTTGCTTAATTAAGTTAATTTTTAGAAAAAACGTTGCTGAATTGGATTTTTCTATTACATAAGCTTGCTGAATTGCGTTTTGTATAGTAAACATTCACTGCATTCAAATTATCTATTAAAAAGTGGCTGAATTAAGTTTTTCTATTGAAAAACCAAGCTGAATTAAAATTTTATATGGGAAACCCTTGCTGAATTAAGTTTTTCTCTTGAACAACGTTGCTGAATTCAGTTTTTCTATGGGAAACCCTAGCTGAATTCAGTTTTTCTATGGGAAACCGTTTCTGAATTGAGTTTTTCTATTTTCAAAAACGTTGCTGAATTCAGTTTTTCTATGGGAAACCCTTGCTGAATTGAGTTTTTTTCTCGAGAAATGAATTGAATTGAGGCTTTCAGTTGAATACTTTGTTGAATTGAGTTTTTCTCTTGAAAAACGTTGCTGAATTCAGTTTTTCAATGGGAAAACCTTGCTTAATTGAGTTTTTCAGTTATAAACCCTTGCTGAATTGAGTTTTTCTCTTGAAAAACGTTGCTAAATTCAGTTGTTCTATGGGAAAACCTTGCTGAATTGAGTTTTTCAGTTGAATATTGCTGAATTGAGTTCTTCTCTTGAAAAACGTTGCTGAATTCGGGTTTTCTATGAAATATCATTGCTGAATGCAGTTTTTTAGTAGAAAATCCTTGCTGAATTGAGTTTATCTATTCAAAATCGTCGCTGAATTCAGTTTTTCAATGGGAAAAACCTTGCTGAATTGTATTTTTTGGTTAAAAACCTTTGCTGAATTGGAGTTTTTTGTAGAAAAACTTTGCTGAATTGAGTTTTTCAGTTGAAAGCCTTTGCTGAGTTGAGTTTTTCACTTGAATACACTTGCTGAATTAAGTTTTGCAATGGGAAAACCTTACTGAATTGGGGTTTTCTTTCGAAAATCGTTGCTGAATGGAGTTTTTCATTACGAAATGTTTGCTGAATTGAGTTTATATATAAAAAATGTTTGCTGAATTGAGTTTTTCAATCATTTTTTATCCCTACCAGACACCTAAGCCCCTGGTTTTATGTTTAAAATTTATAAATAAACATTAACAAAATATTTTTTAAATCAAATTCCGCATACTTAGACGGCATTGAATGTAAATATTTTTTTAAATAAACCTGTAAATCAAATGCCAACGTCAATACTGGGTTGCACATGGACACCACTTCAATGGTTGATGGTGCTGGTGTGTTTGGTACTTCTTGTTTGATGTTCATTTGTTTTTTTTTTCTTTTGGACAAATTCTCATTATGCCAATTAAACAGCTGACATGATACCACCATTGTGTGAGAGTGTTTTTGTTTGTGGAAAAACAACAAAAAAAAAACATTTGTAGGTTGAATGCTTAAAGGCGGACAATCGACAGGCTAGAAACCGGGTTTTCTTTCGTTTTCTGCTCTGCAACTAAGCTTAGCTATCAGTCAGGAAATATTCCACAATGCGATTAACATGGCATAGTATTTTTATTTAGTTTTCCTAGAAAAAGTAGAAAAAAGACTACAACAACAACAGAAACCGAAACATCAATTGGCGCTGGATAACAACGAATTGAAATGGTAATTAGCTATGGAATGGAATAATTATTCGCAAAAAAAGGAAATTGGGTTTTTTGCAATCTTCTTCAGAAAGAAATTATGTTTCCAGTCATTAAAAGAAAATTTTAAAATTATAAGCATAACTTTTTCTATTAAAAAACTTTGCTGAATTGAGTTTTTTCATACCAAAATGTTGGTGAAATGTGGTTTCTTATGCAAAAAACATTGCTGCATTATGTATTTCTATTGAAAACCCTTGCTGAATTGAGTTTTTCTATAGAAAAACCTTCCTGAATTAAGTTTTTCATTGATAAAATTTTGCTAAATTGAAGTCATTTGTCATTGTCAAACCTTTCTTTATTGTGTTTTTATACCAAAAAACCTTGCTGAATTGAGGTTTTCTAAAGAATAACCTTGCTGAATTGAGTTTTTCATTGATAAAACCTCGCTGAATTGAAGTTTTCATCGTTAAAACCTTTCTTAAAAGTGTTTTAATAACGAAAACCCTTGCTGAATTCAGTTTTTCATTTATAAAACCTAGCTGAATTGAGTTTTTCTATAGAAAAACCTCGCTGAATTGAAGTTCTTATTATCAAAATCTTGCTGAATTGAGGTTTTGCATAGAAAAATGTTGCTGAATTGAGTTCTTAGTTGAAAAATCTCGCTGAATTAAAGTCTTCATTGAGAAACCGCTCTTAATTGTGTTTTTATAAAGCTGAATCGAGTTTTTCATTGAAAAAACCTTGCTGAATTGTGTTTTTCATTGAAAAAACCTTGTTGAATTGAGATTTTCTACAGAAAATCCCTAGATGATTTAAGTTTTTTAATAGTAACCATCGCTGAATTGATTTTTTCTACACAAAAACATTGCTGAATTGTGATTTTCTTATAAAAGGCTTTGCTGAATTTTGTTTTCCTATATAAAAACCTTATTGAATTAAGTTTTTTATTAGAAACCCTTGCTGAATTGAACTGAACGGAATTTTACTACAAAAAAATATTGCTGAATTGTGTTTTTCTAATAAATGACCTTGCTGAATTGAGTTTTTCAACAGAAAAACCTTGCTGAATTCAGTTTTTCTTTAGAAAAACCTTGCTCAATTGAGTTTTTCATAAGAAAGGACTTGCTGAATTGAGTTTTTCAATGAAAAAACTACACAAAAACATTGATGAATAGTGATTTCCTCATAAAAAGCAATGCTGAATTAGTTTTTTATATAAAAACCTTGCTGAATTGTGTTCTCTATGAAAAAACCTTGCTGAATTGAGCTTTTCAATAGAAAAATCTTGCTAAATTTAGTTTTCCTTTAGAAAAACTTTGCTGAATTGAGAAAAACCTTGCTGATTTGGAGTTTTCAACAAAAACTCCTAGCTGAATTGAGATTTTCTTAGAAAAAATCTTGCTGAATGGAGGTTTTCTATGGAAAAACGTTGCTGAATTGAGTTTTTCGATGTAATAACTCCTACCAATCCCCACCTAGGCTGAATGATTTCATTTTCCAAAACATTGTCGAACATCTGCTGTTGTTTTGATAGCTTCCAAAATGCATATCAGCCCAAATCGCAATTAATTGTCAATCGATATTTGTTTTTTATGTTCACCAAAGTATTGGCATTGACTTATCAAAGATCCGACATTTTAGCAACAAAAACAAAATGGTACCAAACTTTCCATTTCGTTTTCGGTTTTTATGCGTTTTTGACACTTGCGGTGTGCGTGATATTATTTATTGGTCAAATTGTTGCCAATTCCTTGAAAATCAAAATCCTATTTGTCGCCGCTTTAGTTTTCTTGCACCCTTTGTTAGAAACAATAAACAATTAAACCGGCATGATCATGATCATCGCCATTGTCGTCACATATCGACAGTTAATTATGGTCAGCTTGAAGACAACCAGTTTGCCGCGCGTCTGCTTAGATATGACATAAGTTTATTTTTGTGGCTAACGACTACTGACATCTATTGCAAATCTCAAGCTCATGGAGACGTGTCCAAGCATAGTAATGGCCACTGAGCAGGCTGAACAAAAACAACAACAAAAGAAAAGAAAAAACAACAGATGATTGTGGTGAGCATGATTACAATGGAAAATGTTAGCTGAATGGGGATTTTCGACAAGAAAACTTAGCTGAATTTGATTTTTCTATCATAAAACTTTACTGAATAGGAAATTTCGACAAGAAAACTTAGCTGAATTTGATTTTTCAATCATAAAACTTTGCTGAATGCAGGATTTTTCTTATAAAACGTTGCTGAATTGAGATTTCATATCATAAAACTTTGATGAATTGGGAATTTCAATAATAAAACTTAGATGAATTGGATTTAATTATAATGAAATAAGGATACATTAATTGTTTTTATTGAAACGGCTTGCTGAATTGCATTTTTATACAGAAAACACTTGCTGAATTGAGTTTTTCTAAGAAAAACGTTGCTTAATTGAGGTTTTTTATTAAAATAACTTGCTGAATTAAGTTTTTCTACAGAGAAACGTTGCTGAATTGAGTTTTTCTAAATAAAACACTTGCTGAATTTAGTTTTTCCTTACAAAAACCTAGCTGAATTGAGTTTTTCCTTATATAAACCTTGCTGAATAGAGTTTTTCTAAGTAAAACCCTTGCTAAATTCATTTTTTTTAAATACCTTGCTGAATTAAGTTTTTCTACAGAACAACGTTGCTGAATAGAGTTTTTCTAAATAAACACTTGCTGAATTGAGTTTTTCAATGAAATTACCTTGCTGAATTGCATTTTTCTATGAAAAAAACTTAGCTGAATTAAGTTTTTCAATGAGAAACGCTTGCTGAACTTAGTTTTTGTGTTTAAAAACCTTGCTGAATTAAGTTTTTATATTGGAAAAATGTTGCTGAATGGAGTTTAATTAAATAAAACTTTGCTGAATTGAGTTTTTCAATGAAATTACGTTGCTGAATTGCATTTTTCTATGAAAAAACCTAGCTGAATTAAGTTTTTCAATGAGAAACGCTTGCTGAACTTAGTTTTTGTGTTTAAAAACCTTGCTGAATTAAGTTTTTATATTGAAAAAATGTTGCTGAATGGAGTTTTACTAAATAAAAACTTTTGCTGAATTGAGTTATTCAATGAGAAACACTTGCTGAATTTATATTTTCCGTATAAAAACCTTGCTGAATTGAGTTTTTCTAAATAACTAGCCTGCTGAATTAAGTTTTTCAGCCAGAAACACTTGTTGAACTGAGTTTTTCTAAATAAAAAGCCTGCTGAATTTAGTTTTTCGGTATAAAAAACTTGCTGAATTGAGATATTCTGTATAAAAACCTTGTTGAATAGTATTTTTCAATAGAATATCCCCGCTCAAATAAAGTTTCTAACACTTTGTGTCTCCAACAACACTACAGCACCAACATCCGCTGGACAAACCCTCAACTCTGCCTTGCCAACATTTTCAATACACAAAATATTGGCATCGAATTCACTTTACAATTAATTTGTTTTTCATTCAATTTTATTTTTCAAATACTTAGCTACCGATAACAGAAAATTACCCTGCAGTTGTGGGTGGAAATGTGGTAGGCGGATAGCCAGCTAGTCCATGGCTAGCTATTTAGGCGTTTCCTAAATAGCTAAACATTTAAAATATATCAAAATAATTATGTAATTTGGCATCTAATCGCAATGAGCGAACAGTGGATTGGTTGGCTGGCTGCAGGGTATGAATGGATAATAAGCAAAAGTGGAGAAATATCGAACTTCCACCGACAACAATGTATTTAAATGGTTGAATATCAATGATGATCTCAATTTAAATTGGGAACAGTACAGTGGGAGGGCTTTTTGGAAATTTTTCCTAATAAAAACTTTACTAAATTGAGTTTTACGATAGAAAACCCTTGCTGAATTTAGTTTTTCATTAGAAGTACTTAGCTGAATTGTGTTATTATTAAGAAAAACTTTGCTGAATAGAGAATTTAATTAGAAAAACATTGCTGAATTGAGTTTTTTATTAGAAAAACTTTGTTGAATTGAATTTTTCATATAAGAAACTTAGCTGAATTGAGTTTTTATGATATGTTTTAATGTAAAAGCCTTCCTGAATTCTAGTTTTCTATAATTTGTTTTTTCTGTAAAAAAAAAAATCTTGCTGAATTGTATTTTTGTATAGAAAATTCTTGATGAATTAAGTTTTTATATTAAAAGCCTTTGCTGCATTGCATTTATCTTTGAAAAAATCTTGCTGAATTGAGTTTTTTGAAGAAAAACCTTTGCTGAACAGCATTTTTGTATGAAAAAGTCTTGCTGAATTGTATTTTTTTATTAAAAAACTTTTCTGAATAGCATTTATCTATGACAAAGTCTTGCTGAATTGAGTTTTTTTCTATTAAAATCTTTGCTGAATAACATTTATATAAAAAAATTGTTGAATTCAAAACCCTTTCCTGAAAAATTCTTACTAAATTGAAGTTCTGTCTGGAAAACTCTTGCTGAATAGAGTTTTTCTATGAAAAAATCTTGCTGAATTTAAGTTCTGTATGAAAAACCCTTGCTGAATTGACTTTTTTTAACGTTTTCTAGCTGAATAGCATTTTTTCTATGAAAAAGTTCTGCTGAATTTAGTTTTTCCTGTGTAAAACTCTTGCTATAGTATATTTTGTCAATGAAAAACCTTGCTGAATTGAGTTTTTCAAATACAAATCTTGCTGAAAACCTTTGCTGAATTAGTCTTCTCTATAGAAACCCCTTGCTAAATTGAGTTTTTTATGAAAAACCTTTGCTGAGTTTTTTTTTGAGTTTTTCTAATAAAAACCTTGCTGAATAGAGTTTTTCAGTGCAAAAAACTTTGCTGAATTAGTTTTCTGTATAGAAAACCGTTGCTGAATTGGGGTTTTCTATTAAAAACCTTGCTGAATAGAGTTTACCAGGGCAAAACCCCTTACTGAATATCCTTTATCTATGAAAAAGTCTTGCTGAATTGAGTTTTTCCATAAAAAATATTGCTGAATTATGCCCCTCAATGCAAAGTCTTGCTGAATTGTGTTTCCCTATCGGAAAATTTGCTGAATTGCATTTTTCTTAAGAAAAAACTTTGCTGAATTGTGTTTTTCCTCAAAGAAAATTGTTACAATTTACCACCGAACTTCCTTCCTAGCCACACAAATGACCTTGGCTGCTAATAACACATTTCCCCCTTACATGGAGAGCAACATTCCTTCCAACCGCCAATGCTCTTCATTGTGGCAACTTTGTTGCCACGGCATTACAAAATATCTGACAGTTCAGTTCAGTTGTTTTCCAAAGTGTCTGTAACATGGCCATCAGCCAGTAAAAAAGGCCACACTCCATCCAACTCGAAATTATCAACGACGTGAAAATGACGGAATATCTGTTACAGCTTCGAGGAAAATTTCAAATTTTTGTTTTCTTTGGCAAACAATTTTAATGAGACAACATTACAACAATAACGAAGAAGAAGAAAACAACAACAACGACGAATAAGGTAAATAAATGCAGGGTATTGTTCCGCAGCTTCCTGACATGATTTATTGGCCCAAAGACAGTTGGGAATTAAATGTTATGCAAATTATGACGGAATCGAAGCCGCACGATCAGATCGACATGGAAACAAACGAACTGACAGGGAGTTTTTTGGGAAATGATGGAAAAATGTGTGATAGTAGTGGTGGCTGATGACAATTGGAACTAGGAAAGATGGTGGTTAACAGAAAAAAAACAGAGAGGAAGTTCCCAGGAAGTGATGATGACGATCATCCTCATCTTTGGCATAAGAAAGCTACAGCGGGACAAATGAATTATTGTTTATGGGAAATTCATTTCGTTTTGATTATTAAAAGCAACAAAAATAACAACAACATCATCATTAGCAACAACACCAGCAAATAAATAAACAATAGCTGAGATAAAGGCAATTACTTAGCTGCGGAACCATGAAAATGAAGAAGAAGAAGTGCGAATTTTTGTTGCTCTTCAAATTATTTCACTTCTCGGTCCGATCTTCATGGTAGGTTGGGTTTTTGGGCACTGCAAAGCGGATTTTCATTTTTCTTTTTCACTTTCTTCTTTTTTTCCTCCTCTTTTTTATAAACACAGATTAATGGTAAATTTTCATGTGTTTTGTTACAATTAGAGGTTTCGCGAAAATTTCCATTTAAAATTTCAATGAAAATTTTTCGAATCAAAACCAAACATGTTAATGAAAAACCTTTTGTTTCCACTTTGCTTGTGGTGGGGTGTTAATCAAATGAAGATTAATTGCCGGTTAAGTGGAATGTGAAAAGTTAACAAGAGGTTAATTACGATTCAGCTAAATTTAGATAAAGAAAAAATACAAATTTTTAACAAAAATAGCTTATTTATATAGAAAACTTTGCTGAATTGGGTTATTCATTAGAAAAACTTAGCTGAATTAGATTCTCTTTGGAAAAACTTTGCTGAATTGATTTTTTCGAATGGAAAACTTTGCTGAATTGAGATTTTCTTTGGAAAAACTTAGCTGAATTTGGAATTTTTAACAAAAAATAACACACATTTATACAATAAATTTTGCTGAATTGACAAAAGTTAGCTGAATTTGGTCATTTATTAAAAAAACTTTGCTGAATTGAGATTTTCTTTGCAACAACTTTGCTGAATTTGGAATTTCAAACAAAAAAATAGAACAATTTTATACAAAAATTTACTGAATGAGCAAATGTTAGCTGAATTGACATCCTTTGCAGAAAGACTTTGCTGAATTGAGTTATTTGTTAGAAAAGCTTTGCTGAATTTATATTTTCGAATCAAAAACTTTGCTGAATTAAAAATTTCTTAGGAAACCTTAGCTGAATTGGGATTTTTTCTAAGAAATCCTGGCTGAATTGTGGTTTCCTTTAGATAATCTTAGCTGTTTTTCGAAAGAAAACTTAGCTGAATTGAGTTTTTCTGTAGACAAACTTAGCTGAATTGTGGTATTCTTGAGAAAAACCCAACCAAATTGATTTTTTCTTAAAACACCTTCGCTAAATTGATTATTTCCATAGAAAATCTTAGCTGAATTGCAATTTTCTTCATAAAAAGTTAGCTGAATTGATGTTTTCTCAGAGAAAACTATACTAAATTGATTATGTGCGACAAAAAACGTATCTGAATTGATTTATTCGTATAGAATTTTTTGCTGAATTAAGTTTTTCTTTAGGAAAACTTAGCTGAATTAAGTTTTTCTTTAGGAAATCTTTGCTGAATTGGGGTGAATTATTTTATTTGTAGAGACCCCTTGCTTAATTTAGATTTTCTTTAGAAACCTTTTCTGAATTGAGATGTTCTTCATAAACTGCTAGCTGAATTGAGTTTTTCGGTAGACAAATGTAGCTGAATTGTGGTATTTCGGTAGACAAATGTAGCTGAATTGTGCTATTCATGAGAAAATCCTCACTAAATTGATTTTTTCCTACGAAACCTTTGCTGAATTGCAATTTTCTTTACAAAAAGTTAGCTGAATTGCGAGATTTTCTAAGGAAAATTGGCTAAATTTATTATGGATGACACGTAGCTGAATTGATTTATTTGTGTAGAAAATGTTTCTGAATTGAGTTTTTATGTAGGAAAACTTAGCTGAATTGTGTCTTTCTTTAGAAAATCTTTGCTGAAATGTATTTTTCGGGAGACAAATTTAGCTGAATTGGGTGTTTCTTTGGGAAAACCTTGCTGAATTAATTTTTTTATACAAGACATTTGCTGAATTGAATTTTTTCTTAGAAACTCTTTGCTGAATTGCAAGTTTCTTCATAAAAAATTAACTGAATAGGGAAAATGTCTAAGAAAACTTTGCTAGATTGATTATGGATGGCAAAAACCGTAGCTGAATTGATTTATTTCTATAGAAAATGTTGCTGAATTGAGTTTTTCTTTAGAAAATCTTAGCTGAATTGTGTTTTTCCAAAGAAAAACATAGCTGAATTATTAGCTGAATTGAGTTTTTTATGAAATCTTAGCTGAATTTTATTTTTCGGGAGAAAAAGTTAGCTGAATTGAGGTGCACTTGAAAAAACCTCAATAAATTCATTTTTTTCTTACAAAACCTTTGCTGAATTGATTTGACATGTTAAAACCTTAGCTGAATTGCAATTTTATTTATAAAAAAAATTAGCTGAATTGCGGAAATCTCACAGAAAACTTCTCTAAATTGATTTTGAATGACAAAATACTTTACCTATTTTCCGTCTCCTTTGTCCTATTTCGATATTTATTACAAATATTTTGTCTAAAAATAGTTCAATTAACTTCCTTTTACGTATCCGCAATAAATAACCATTTGTGTTTATATAACCTGCCAATTAATTACCTAATAAATGACAATGATTTGAAACGACTTAAAAGGACTTGAAATCAATCAAGGCTTAATCAGCCTTGTGTGGTGGTAACAGGAATACAATTCAAAATAATAAAAACTTGAATTTGACTGGTTTGTATTGCAAACAATAGAGGAGATGTTAATTTTCAAAACAAAAAATTTGAAAAGTTGTTTTGTCAACCAGATGAAAATGAGGCGTTGACATTAATGTTGTTGTGGTGGAAACAATGGCATAATTTTGTTGATTTAGTTATTGGTGTTTTTTTTTATAATTTTGTTGATTTATTTTTTTCTTGTTGTTGTTTTTTTTTTGACAAATATTCAAAGCCTCTTAATTGTGGCCATGATGATGAGTGATTTTCATACATAACCTCAACCTCCAAGAAGCCAATGGCTTATTGTTGTCATTGAGAGGATGAAATTATTTTGAAAAACTTTTCAAAAAACTAAATATAATTAATGTTATGTATTAGAAAAATAACAACAAAAAAACCTTGGCCAATTGTATAAAAAAAACATTTCATAGCCAAGTTTTTGTGTGTTTCAAAATGCACTAATTTTTCCTCAACGAAGACGACGACGAAGAAGAGGTTTGTTTTGGGCCCCTATGAATGGGAAATGTTGTTGGCTGCATGTTTGCATGCAATTTTTTTGAGCAGAGGGGGAAATAATGCACCGAACACTCACACACTCAAACACTAACGCACACACTCAGGTCCAACACTCCACTTTACCACTTTGCAGTTGAAACGCAGTTTTTTTTCTTTCTTTCTTCCAACAAATCAAAAATTCAAACCCCAAACGAATGAAATGAAATTTTTGCCCCATTATAAAAGCTATGGACTGGACATGTTGCGAAAACAATTGATGTTTAGATACCGTCGTGAAATGTACGCGCTAAGGTTGAAATACGTTTATACAGCATTGCTGATTGTAAGTAAAAGAAAAATATGAAGCGGAAAATGGCTGAAAAAAAAATTAAAAAAATAAAATTTCCAAAAAAAATTATTTGAAAAAAATTATTAAAAAAATGTTTGAAAAAAACAATTAAAAACAATAAAAAAAATTGGAAAAAATTAAAAAAAATATATTTGAAAAAAATAAACAAGAAACTGAAAACATCAACAAAAAATTGTATTATGAATATCCTGCCTAACAGCAAACAGGAACTGGCCCCGGCCACACAAGGCATTTCCTTGGCTTCTGCAAAAAAATAAATAAAAACCAACCTCAAAAACTGGATTACTGTGAAATGAAAACCTGAAACTATAGTGAACTGAAATTGAAAGTGAAGAAAAAAATAACAAAAACATTTAACAGTGACAATCTTTTTTTCTCCCAACTCAAATTCAATGTCAGGATAATTAAAGAAAAATAACAAATTACAGATAAACATCCAATAAGAAAAAAAATAGTTAATAGACTCTAATAAACTCCACAGTTATGTGTATGTGTGTCTGTGTTTATGTATGTGTGTTTGTATAATATATGTTCAATTAAATTGCCATCAATTACATCAACAACAAATTCATTCATCACTGACTGGCTCTCTTACATTGTGTTAATGAACTCTTTTTTTCTTGAACACCCCACAACAACATCAAAGCCAACATTGTTGTTGCTGCAACCAAGCTAGGTTGTTTGGCATTAATTACTAACCATGCGTGCCAAATATAAATCAAATCATGTTTTGTTGAAAAATAAATCCAAAAAAGAAAGCGAAAGTAATGGTGCCCACGGATTTTCAAGAAGTCAATAACATTTTTTGGATGAGGAAGTAATTAGAACCCAATTGGAAAAAATTAGAAAATGGAAATTCAGAAAAAAACTAAATTGAACAACATTTTCTTAACGAAAAACTACATTCAGCAAGGATTTTTTATATGAAAAGTCGACATTCGGCAAGAATTTTTCTTCAAAAATCAATTCAATATCAGCAAGGTTTACGAAAAATTATTCCAAGGTTTTTTTAGAAAAAGTCAATTCAGCAAGATTTTCTTGCCGAAAAACACAATTCAGCAACATTTTTCTATAGGAAACACCAATTCAGCAAGGTTTTTCTCTAGAAAATCTAAATTCAGCAAATTTTTATGCAATTCAGTAAACATTTTTCATTAAAAAATTTAATTCAGCTAAAGGTTTTTGCAGAAAAATTCAATTGAGCATAATTTTTCACTTAAAAAAATGAATTCAGCTACGATCATCAAGAGAAATACTAAATTCAGCTAAGTTTTCTTAACAAAAAACTTCATTCAGCAAGGTTTTCCTATGGGAAAAGTCAATTCAGTAAGGTTATCTAGCCGAAAAACTCAATTCAGCAACACTTGTCTATAGGAAACAACAATTCAGCAACAACTTTTTCTAAAAAATTAAAATCCAGTAAACTCTTTTGCTATGCAGCAGACGTTTTTCATTGGAAAAATTAATTCAGCTGTGGTTTTCCATAGAAAATGTCAATTCAGCAAAGATTTTTTATAAAAAATTCAATTCAAAAATCAATTCAGCTAATATGTTTGTAGAAAAATGCAATTTAGCTAGCATTTTACGAACATAAACTTCATTCAGCATACTAAAAACTAAATTCAGCAATCATTTCTTACCCAAAAACTCAATTCAGCAAGGCTTTCCTATAAAACATCAAGGTTTTTCTTTTGAAAATCAGAATTTTTCAACATTTTATGCAATTCAGCAAACATTTTTCATTGAAAAAATCAATTCAGCAAAGATTTTTCATAGAAAATATCAATTCAGCAAAGGTTTTTCATTAAAAAATCTATTCAAAAATCAATTCAAAAATCAATTCAGCTAATATGTTTGTAGAAAATGCAATTTAGCTAGCATTTTACGAACAGTATTCGTATTTAGTATGAATTCAGTTTTTAGTATGCTGAATGAAGTTTACAGCATACTAAAAACTGAATTCAGCAATCATTTCTTAGCCAAAAACTCAATTCAGCAAGGCTTTCCTATAAAACATCAAGGTTTTTCTATTGAAAATCAGAATTTTTCAACATTTTATGCAATTCAGCAAACATTTTTCATTGAAAAAATCAATTCAGCAAAGATTTTTCATAGAAAATATCAATTCAGCAAAGGTTTTTCATTAAAAAATCAATTCAGCTAATGTTTTCGACCAAAAAGATTAATTCAGCTAATACGGTCTGTAGAAAAACTTCATTCAGCAGAATTGTCTTCTTAAAAATATCAATTCAGCTATCATTATCAATTCAGCTATCATTTCTTAACAAAAATTAAATTCAGCAACACTTTTTCTGTAGGAAACAACAATGCAGCAAGGTTTTTCACTGAAAAAATCCATTCAGCAAAGGTTTTCCATAGAAAATGTCAATTCAGCAAAGATTTTCCATTAAAAACTTAATTCAGCTGCATTTTTTGCAGAAAAAAAAAAACAACATTTCTATTAAAGCAGAATACAATTCAGCAAGCATTTTAATACTAGAATAAGAATAAGCCAATTCAGTAAAGATTTCTTAACAAAAAACTCAATTCAGCAACACATTTGTATGGGAAAAGTCAATTCAGCGCGGGTTTCTTGCCGGAAAACTCAATTCAGCAACACTTTTTCTGTATGAAACTCAATTCAGCGACACTTTTCTATAGGAAACCTTAATTCAGCAATATTTTTTCATAGAAAATGCCAATTCAGCATAATTTTATACAATTCAGCAAAGTTTTTTTTTTTTTTTTTTTTTTGTTGCAAAAATCAATTCAGCAAAGGTTTTCTACAGAAAATGTCAATTCATCGAAGGTTTTCCACAGAATATATCAATTCAGCAAATGTTTTTCATCAGAAATCTTAATTCAGCTCGGTTTTTTGCAGAAATTTTTAAAATATCTATTGAAAGAATTTAACTGAATTCAATTCAGCAAGCATTTTAATGCTAGAATTCAATCTAAAAAAGCATTTTAATTGAATATGATACAATTCAGCCGATATTTTTCGCAATTCAGCTAATTTTTCGAACAAATTTTAAGCCTTTAAATCGCCCTCCTTTGCCTCCCCATTCCTATACCACATTTTTTTCAAAAAAATCTTTATTTAATTCTAGATATCCATTCTCGATTTCAATGAGGCCATAGCCAATGGTAAAACCCGCCGCCGATATGGACCTGCAACGGCGGCCAATACGAAATCGGCGATCAGTGAGGTAACGGAAAAATCGAAAAGTGATCAGGCGGTGGCGGCCAGCAGCCATACGGAGGCAAGTCAATATCGCAGAGGTGGAGCGTATTCGACAGATGCTGGAGGTGAGTCGGAAATACCTCTCTTTTTTCTCTTCATTTCTTACTCTCTCATTGCTCCTATTTCCCCTCTCCCAGATTACTCCTACAACAATGCCGATCTTAATTTAATACGACCCGAAAGTAAACCCTTGCACACGAAAATCACTGCCAAATATACGAGTAGCATTAGCATACCGGCCGATTCGCTGGAGGACACCGAAACGGCAGAGGAATATGTGGCCAAGGCAATGGGTATGTATGGTTCCCGACTACGGGAACCCATACGCATTCCCAGTGAAACGGAGGTGACACCGGCAACAGCCGAACAACAGCCATCATCGGTACAACAACTCACGACACATACACGACATTATGGCGAGCACGAACAAGAACAGCAACAACAATTACAACAACATCATGAACAATCACAACAACACCCGCACCACCACCACTATCCTCAAGAACAGGATCACAGCCTACAGAACATACACGAGCATGTTGAGAAACCCGAACACTATGAATACTACTCCTTTTCACACAAGGATGCCCAGAGGCCTCAGGCACCGATCCAAACGGAAGAGGAACCCCAAGGTCCTCCTCCTTCTCCGGCTTCCCATCAACAGTATCAATATATAAGTCAGGTCCAGGCAGAAAATGAGGCAGCCAAGGCCATGTTAGAGGCTCAAATGCAGGCCCAGCTACAGGAACAATTGAAGCAAGCCCAATATGCTGGAAGCGGAGCGGAACAACAGGAATCAGAGCAGCAACAACAGCAGCAGGAGGTCCAACCACAAGCTGAAGAGTCGCAAGGTAACTCTGAGGTGGAAAGCAATTCGGCGGGATATGACAAGGACCCTGTTACTCGTTCCTATAACATCTATGAGGATCACACAGAGGCCTATGAAGGGGCACCCTCCCATTTGGAAAGGAATTATCGCACGAAGTATTTATATAAACCCGTCTCCTCCTCATCCTACCATTCGGCAATCAATGAAAATGAGGAAAAGATTCGTGTCTCAGCCTCCACGGAAATACCCAAGGCGGAGATCATGAAGCAGATTGAAAAATCCGTTATGAGGTACATGAAAGAACTGGAGGCAGAGGGTAAGATAATTGCCGCTCCCAAAAGTCAAGAACCCAAGACCTATTTTAAGGTGGTCACAGTACCTGGAACGGAAGAGAAACGTATTGCGGCCTCATCAACTAAATCAAAATACTCTTCTCCACCCAATAACTATGGTGGTGAGACCTATAAGCACTCCATTGTCCATTCCGAACCTATCAGAGGTTCCGGATCTCCTAGTTCATCGGGCTCCTCCAAATACAACAAAAATCAGGAATCGAAAAATGCCTTTGTTTTGGAAAATGAAAGTACCTATCAAAGTCAGGGCCACGAAGTAACCGATGTTTTGGCGCCCAACGTGGAATTTATCTACAAAATTAAAACCAAAGCTCCGCTGCATACCGCCACCGTGAAAACTGTCTCGAAGCCTTATAGCCTACCCTTGAAACCCAGTTATGACCAATTCGATCATTCTACGGCCTTGAAAAATCTCGAAGATTTTGATTTATCACATGTGGTTACCACCCCTGATCCGGACGAGCATCAATCCATTTCAAGTGCCTCCAGCAATAAACCCAGTAAATTATATTTTAATTCGGAAATTTATCATGACATCAACTCCATGTCCTATAAACAAAAACAACAACAACAGCGTGGGGAAAATGAATATCGTCCGGAATATCGTAAAAAATCCGTCAGCAATCAAGAACCCCATCCCGATTATAAGGGTTATAGCACCGCCACAAGTGGTTATTATGCTGAACCTCCCACAGCAGAAGGTGATCGTGATATTTCCGGTTCTGGAATGTCCGAAGATGGTTACCCGAGTATTATGTCACCCTATCAACAATATGTTCTGAAAAAGGAGCCTCTCTCGGGGAAATATGAGGCAGAGGGTAGCTTTGAGCAGCCACGCAGTCATCATAAATATAAAAATCTTGATTTTGATAGTTATAATCCCAAATATAATAACAACCCGGAGGGGTATGGTTACCAGCAAACCTATAAGACCCATCTGACCAGAAGTCATGCTCCCGGCAAACGGGGTAAACGTGGTGGTGCTCCTCATCCAAGTCAGACGAAGAAGCTGCATCGCAACTCAAATATGAAGGAATTTGAGGCCAATATTGCCCTACGTCCACCACCCAAAGTCTGAGGAGGGGTTTTCGCGGAGCAGGAATAGCAGAAATTCAAATTTTTTAGCCAAAAAATAAAATCGCAAACGATTAAATTCTGTATTTTGTAGGAAGTTCAATTTTGTTGTTTATAAATTATTTATTTCTTTTTATATATTATTTATATAATTCATTTAATTATTATTTGTTTTTATTATAAAATGTTTTACGAATTTTATTCTTAAGTTTTTTATTTTTATTTTTGTCCTATTTTTGTATTTATTATTTTATTATTAAATATAAAATCAATTTTTTAATAATTAAATTTACCCATTAGTTTCATTGAGGGGCTCCTAGAAGTATGCTTTAAATTTGATAATGAGTGTTCAGGCATCTTATGCACACAACTGTAATTGTGAATGATCAACAAATAAGGAAATCAGCTGATTTGTAGAATTTGGAGGTTGTGGGCTTTTTTTGGAAAGATATTTAAGAGTCAGAGGGTAGATTATGACTAATTTCGAATGTATTGTCCAGATTATTTAATAATAAGATTATACAATTTGCAACTCCTTGAAGAATGCGGAATTTTTTAACAATTTCAATTCATTTATAAATCATGTACTTTTTCTATTAGTGAGGGGCTTAAACGGCATTGACATTAGAACTTTTTACCGGATTAACCTACTTTATGAGGATTTATTTGGCATATATACAATGGAATTGACAATTTAAACCCACTGGGTTAACGAAATACGGTACAATGTAAATTTGCTATTGGTGTAAAGAAGTTCCCAGCCTTCCATATGTTGTGTTCCCCTACTTCTTATATTGTGGAATGAATAAAAACTAAATATAAAAAACATTACTATTTTGGTGCGCGAATTCTTCTTAGTAAAGAGTTATACAGATTGTCAAATCTGAAGTTTCAGGATTATATATTAATAGGTTGGGTTCCTTTCAGAATGAATATATAACTACAATGGGAGATAAATACGGACTATTTCTTAAGAAATGATTATCCAAACTCCTGAAAATATTGACTGTGAATGCTTCAGCAAAACTCTTATTGTGAATTATAAACTAAGCTAATCAGCAAGTGAAAACGAGAGAGGAGAAAGGTATTTGTTGAAAAACGAGGGATCTGTTATCTAGGTTGACGCGGATATTCTCCGCGGAATGATAGCACGTCTTCTTTGTTTGTGGTGCATTTACACACTAATTTATTAAGATAAAAAGTGGTCCTTAAGAACTAAGTAATACATTACAACTTAACCTATGTAAGACTAATGTGTAAAAGAGAGCGAGAGTGCATCTGCCATAACACATGGAATGGACACACACATTTCTTTATCTCACATGTGGCAAGCACGCTACACATGCTTATCAGCCTGTAGTGAAGATTACTCCCCGTAATCTCTCCCAAACATACCACATGCGGCAAATATTCAATCAAAATAATCTCATATCTCAAGTGGACTGTAGACAAAAATAGATCCCTGTTTAACTTAATATTCTCTCCTTTACACAAGCAAGACATTCCCTATCTTTATTATACGAAACCCATGTTCGCTACGTGAACAATTGTATACCACCGGTATAGATTGTATACCACTTAGCCAAAATGAGGTCAGAGTAGCAATTAATTGGCTGAAGAACAATAAAGCATAAAGGTGCCGATGGATTGCCAGCCAAACTACTCAAGATTGGTAGTCAAATGCTGGTCAGGAGCATACACCAGCTGATTAGTACAATTTGGCTAGAGAATTGCATGCCCAACGACTGGAACCTCAGCGTCCTGTGTCCCGTGCACAAAAAGGGAAACAAGACAATATGTGCCAACTATAGAGGAAAAAGTCTTAGGGTTATTCAGCGTACTATGAAAGACTGAATGTCCGATGTTCAAATACATTATTGGACCATACCCATAGGAATTCAGGCCTGGCAAATCCAACATTGACCAGATTTTCACTCTGCGCCAGAACCTGGAAAAGACCCATGAGAAACACATCGACACATTCCACCTATTCGTCGACTATAAAGCCACACTCGACAGCCCTATCCTATTTAAAGCCACAAGGTCAGCAGTAAAAGTGAGAAAGGACCTCTCGGAGCCCGTTAATACCGAACGAGAATTCAGTCAAGGTAACAGTTTGTTGTGTGTTCTTTTTACAAACTACTGGAAAAGGTCATACCGGAGGCAAAGGCATTCTGCACACCAAACCACACATGTTACTCGCCTACGCCGTAAACATCGACATAATGGGACGATTGAGAAGGAGTGAACCAAAGTGGGTCTGGCAGTAAATGGCGAGAAGACCAAGCTGATGGTATCAATGCTCCAGAATCCTGTAGACTCGGATCAACTGTGGAACTTGAGAACTACAACTTTGAGGTAGTTAAAGATTTTATATACCTTGGTACCGCCATAAATAAAAGTTGTCATTAGTTTTATTTATGGCGGTCGTGAAATTCGGAGAAGGCCAACAGATGCTACTATGGTCTATGAAAGCAGTTTATAAACAATGCCACCTCCCGCCAGACCAAACTCACACTCTACAAGACGCTGATAATACCTGTGCTGTTATATGGATCGAAAGCATGGGTACTTACGCTAGCATATGAAAAAGCTCTTGGAGTGTTTGAGAGAAAAATTCTCCGAAAGATCTGTGGGTCGATCTGCGTTAATGGTGAATATCGCTGTCGAATGAACCATGAGTTCTACCGTCTATTCTCGGCCATCAAGCTGCAGCGACTACGTTTGCTAGGTCATGTTATGAGAATGACGATGAAGATTCCCCAGCTCAAGAGTCATAAAAAAGCGATGGTTCACGGAGAAGGGGAATGCTGCAAATTAGATGGAAAGATCAAGTGGAAGACAACATCTCGAAACATGGTCTTTCAAGTTGGAAGAGATACGCAAAAGACCGACGCTTATGAAACGAACGTTCTGTCACAAGCCACTTAAGTAAGTAATCAGCAAGATCTATTAAAAATGTCACTCAGCTCGCGAAAGACAGTTATTCTTCAAAAATTTGGACTTTGTTTACGTTTTCATAATCGTAGTCAATTCACAATAATGGATTTTGACAACAAACATGAGAGGCAGCTGATATCCAGCTGATCTCCCTGGATGTTCTTATTAATCGACCTTGCTAAACAGCTGATCGTGTTATTATCCTGAAAGGATTCTTCATAATGATAGATATTGTAGAATTACAAATTGTATAAAAAAATAAAAATGTGGATACCTTCCTAAGTGCTTTATATTATATAAAAATAAGATTGGACGAAGACATATTAAAAATTTCACCCAGCAAGCAAAAACAGCTGTTCGTTTTTTTTCCAAACCAATTTGTACGTTATGAAGATGTATTATTAAGGTCACTCAGAAACATTTCAATTTTTTCCAAGTCCATCTAAGGTGTGGATTTTTAAAATAATTATTTTTTTCCACATCCATTTAAGGCGTGTATTTTTAAAATAATTTTTTTTAATTTAAATTTTTTTATTATTAATTATTTATTTAACAAAAATCACTAAAACATTGAAAACAAAAACAAAATTATAAATCATACACAAACATAGTAGTTAAAAAATAAGTCTTAAAATCATGTCTAAATCAAATACATATAATAAAATTTTGGCAATTTTTTTAATAACAAAATTCATTCTCTTCTCCCTCTCTATTCATGATGATAGTATTGCTCATAATGAGCCGAGTGCTCATGATGTTCAGGTTCCTCTTCATGATGGCCAATCTCGTGGAATTTCGATTCACTGTGTTCTTCCAGTACCAAACCATGATTGTGATTCTTTTTGGTTTCGGGATGAAGGATTTTCAATTTTTGTTTAGTGCCTCCGATCTCGACGGGCTTCTTGACCAAATGTTGATCTTCTTTTTTGATGTAGACGGGGACGGCATGATAATGATGGAATTTGACACTTTGATGAGAGGTGGCATGTTTGTGCTCAACCTCATGATGGACTTCGGTATCTTCGCCCTCACCCTCATGTTTGTATTCGGCATATTCGTGGATTTTCAGGGCGCAGGTGGTGGCCACAAGAAGAGAACAGATTACCTAAAATACAGAAGAAGAATGGGGAATGGGTTCAGTTACGGAGTTTTTTTTTGGTTATGTAAAAATTGTAACACTTCCTTACCAAAAATTTCATCATTTTTTCTTGTTGTTGTTTTTTTAATTTGGCTTATATAAATATGTAAGTATGTATGTATGGGTTTTATTTTGGTTATAAATTTACTTGCACTGTTAACTTTCTTTTATGTTAAACTGAACACACTGAACGCTTCCTAGACACGCGATGCGATTCGTTAGATATGTGGAAGAGATTTTGGAATCACAACAGGCTGTGAAGTTGTTTTTGTTGTTGTTGTTTTTATTATTTGATCGATTTTGGGCTTAGAGTACGTTGCTCTAAGACGATTTGGCTTTGACTGTGATTATGGTTGGAATCCAGATTCGATTTATACCCCCAGCTAACAACTTAGCCGACATGGATGTGGATGGGAACCCATAGAGCAAGGCATGAGCAGCTGCTGCAGCCACCTCAGCCAACAACTTTATCATGGCAGCGTCAGTTTTTTTTTTCTGCAAGACAGGCAGGCTGGCTGGTAGTTATGGCGGCGGTACATTCACATTGACGTTAGATATGTAAATAATGGTAACACACACTCCTACAAACATAGACAAACGGTCCTCCATTATAGCAGATTGTTGCAATGTTTCGATTCGGTTTTTTTTCTTGCAGTTCGGATGCAGCAACATTTGTAGCTTGTCAGCCAGCTCAGCCATGGAGAAATGTTTTGGTTTTTTCTGCTTTCCTTGGGGTCTTTTACTCCTGTCTAACAACAACTCCCCAACACCACTTACTCACTCACTTCGTGGCTGTTTGAATGGCTTGTCACCTGCCATCATTTATTGTGTTTTATGAGATCTTTTACTTTAGTCATTGACTGCGTTTTGCACCACGAGTAAGGGGACTCCTTTGTGTTTTTTTGGTATCTCCTAACGCCAAAGTTGTCAAAGACCCCAACGTGAGTTGTTATGTTATGTACAAAAGATTGGCGGGAAAAAATCCTGGTTGGGCAATTACATGGGAAAATTAACCATAAATTAAAAAAAATCCGAAGAGGCCTTGAGTTTTTAAAAATATTTTTTCGGGACCCATCTAAGTCGTGAGTTAAAAAACAAAATTCCACATCCATCTAGGGCGTGAATCTCTAAAATATTTTTTTTCATTTTTCCAAGCCTTAGGTGGGGCTTTGATTTAAAAAAAATATTTCCCACATCCATCTGTTGAATATTATGAATTGACATAATTGGCAACACATATATTTTATGTAGAGATCCCAGAGAGAATTGCCCACTCCCTACAAAACTGCGGCAAAAGCAACACTTGGGTACCAAAGACCACCATCAAGAAATCCCTTGTACGATCAGAAGTGCCGTAATGCTACTGATATGAAAAACGCAGCGTATAGGGCAGCCCTGCAGACAGTAGCAACACGCGTAATGCGATGGAGAATTATCGGGAGAAAAATAGAGAGGAGAAACGAATTTTCAGAAAAAAGAACAAGAAAAACGTGAGCAAATCGAGATGTACAGGAGTCAGAATGAAGTCCGAAAATTCTACCAACGGGTAAAACACCAAACCGAAGGCTTTGGTTCAGGCACATCCTCCTGTTCAGATAAAGAAGCAAACCTGGTGGCAGATACAGACAGCGTGCTGAGGATCTGAAAGGAGCATTTCGAAAAAATTCTAGTATCAAATAGTAGCGGTGAAGAGGATACCCCAGAACAAATAATAGATGACGGTATAGAGTCTAGATGAATAAGCCAAGATGAAGACAGAATAGCAATCAATCGGCTGAAGAATAATAAAGAAGCAGGTGCCGATGGGTTACAAGCCAAACTATTTAAGACTGATGGTCAGATGCTGGTAAGGAGCATGCACATGCTGATTAGTACAATGTGGCTAGAAGAATGCATGCCCAATGATAATTGGAACCTCAGTATCCTGTGTCCCGTGCACGAAAAAAGGAGACAAGACGATATGTGTCAACTATAGAGGAATAAGTTTCCTTCCCATCGCATATAAAGTGCTATCCAGCGTACTGTGTGAACGACTGAAACCGAACGACAATGCGGCTTCAGACCTGGCAAATCCACCATTTACCAGATTTTCACTTTGCGCCAAATCCTGGAAAAGACCCACGAAAACACATCGCACATTCCACCTATTCGACGACTATAAAGCCGCATTTCATAGCTCTATCCGTTCAGAGGTGTTTAAAGCCATGTCTACTTTCGGCATTCCTGCAAAATTAATTCGGCTTTGCAGGATAACTTTAACTGCACAAGGTCAGCAGTTAAAGTCGGAAAGGATCTCTCGGAGCCCTTTAATACCGATTGAGGATTCAGAGAAGGTGACAGTTTGTCGTATGACATTTTTAACATCCTGCTGGAAAAGGTCATACGAGAGGCAAAAGTGAACAGAAATGACACTCTGTATACCAAACAACACATGTTACTCGCCTATGCCGATGACATCGACATAATGGGTCGAACGCTGAGAGCGCTAACAGCCACCTTTGAACAAATTGAGAAGGAGTCGTCTGCCACAGTGGGTCTGGCAGTAAACGGCGAGAAGACCAAGCTGATGATATCAAAGCGCCAGTAAACGTCCAGTAGACTCGGACGAACTGTGGAACTTGAGAACTACAGCTTCGAGGAAGTTAAAGATTTTATATACCTTGGTACCGCCATAAATAAAACGAATGACATCAGTTTTGAAATTTGGAGAAGGATTGTGATGGCCAAAAGATACTACTATGGTCTGAGCAAACAACTCGAAAGCTAGGCCTCCTCTCGCCAGACCAATCTCACACTGTACAAGACGCTGATACTACCCGTGAGGCAGCTCTTGGAGTGTTTGAGAAAAAAAATCTCCAAAGATCTATGGGCCGATCTGCGTCGGCGTCGAATGAACCATGAGTTGTACCAGCTATTATCGGACATCGACATTTTTAGACGTATTGAGCTGCAGAGACTATGTTGGCTAGGTCATGTTGTGAGAATGGATAAAGATGCCCCAACCCAGAAGGCATATAAAAGTGAACCAGCTGATGGTTCACGCAGAAGGGAAAGGCCATCTATGGCGTGGATTTCCACATCGATCTGTTAAATATTGTGAATTAACATAATTGGCAACACATATATTTTATATAATTAGAGATCCCTACATTAATCAGTTACGATAAGTGTATATGATTACTTTTGTACATAGGACAGTGATGTAAGTTATCATTATGAATTATATAGAATAAGAAAGTTCTAGCAGTTCGTCTTCGGATGGCTTACAAAAAAAGATGCATTAAAAGAGTTAATCACGCCTACTGGCTTAAAAATTACAAAATGGCGCTCTGTTAAGTGTTCGCTTAACTTGCCACGTGTTTTATCGAACTAAACGATAAATATAAAAAAATCTCGTTCATATGGTGTATGGTCCTATACCTTCTATTCTAATAGAAAGTGGACTAGCTGGAGGAGGATCTGCCTCCAGTTTTTAAAGAGATAAAAAATTAAAGACCTAGAGTTAGACGTTTCTAGAATAAGGTACAGAATGTATATAAGGATAGGAAGGATACAACTAGATAGAGTGTGCCAGTTCATAAAGTAAAGTCCGCCCTGTTAATAAAGTATAGTCGCCAGTTATAGAAGTGTCGTCAATCGTGTTATTTAAAGAATCCACTCCTTAGATAGACCTCGGAAAAAAATATTTAAAGAATCCACGCCTTATATAGACCTCGGAAAAAAATATTTAAAGAATCCACGCCTTAGATAGACCTCGGAAAAAATTATTTAAAAATTCACGCCTTAGATAGATCTCAGAAAAAATTATTTAAAGAATCCACGCCTTAGATAGACCTCGGAAAAAATTATTTAAAGAATCCACGCCTTAGATAGACCTCGAAAAAATTATTTAAAGAATCTACGCCTTAGATAGACCTCGGAAAAAATTATTTTAAGAATCCACGCCTTAGATAGACCTCGGAAAAAATTATTTAAAGATTCCACGCCTTAGATATAGCTCGGAAAAAATTATTTAAGAATCCACGCCTTATATAGACCTCGGAAAAAATTATTTAAAGAATCCACGCCTTAGATATAGCTCGGAAAAAAACTATTTAAAGAATCCACGCCTTAGATAGGCCTCGGAAAAAATTATTAAAAGAATCCACGCCTTATATAGATCTCGGAAAAAATTATTTTAAGAATCCACGCCTTAGATAGACCTCGGAAAAAATTATTTAAAGAATCCACGACTTAGATAGACCTCGGAAAAAATTATTTAAAGAATCCACGCCTTAGATAGACCTCGGAAAAATTTTTTTAAAGAATCCACGCCTTAGATAGACCTCGGAAAAATTATTTAAAAAATCCACGCCTTAGATAGACCTCGGAAAAAAATTATTTAAAGAATCCACGCCTTAGATAGACCTCGGAAAAAATTATTTAAAGAATCCACGCCTTAGATAGACCTCCGAAAAAAAAATATTTAAAGAATCCACGCCTTAGATAGACCTCGGAAAAAATTATTTAAAGAATCCACGCCTTAGATAGACCTCGGAAAAAATTATTTAAAGAATCCACGCCTTAGATAGACCTCGGAAAAAATTATTTAAAGAATCCACGCCTTAGATATAGCTCGGAAAAAAACTATTTAAAGAATCCACGGCTTAGATAGACCTCGGAAAAAATTATTTAAAGAATCCACGCCTTAGATAGACCTCGGAAAAAATTATTTTAAGAATCCACTCCTTGCGTATTTAAGGTCCTGAAAAATATTTTATTTTTTTCTAATTTCCAATCCATTTTGAAATATCCCACATATTATAATAAATCACGTCACACATAGTTGTTTGTTGTGTTTTTGATTTCGATCTGGTTAAATCATTTTGTTAATCATTTCATTAATTCGGATGGAACGTGCGTGATGTCTAAAGATTAAAACGTGTATCGCTGTGGCCAATCGCATCCGATGCGAATTTTCAGCGCCACTCTCTTTGGAATGAACTTTTTTTTTCGTTTTTGTATTTCATAGCTGTTTAGAGCTTAACATACCATGGCGATTGAAGAAACCGGTACCAAAGAGGTTTTGAAAACCTGACGCTTTTTTTCCTCTCTGTTGGAAATTGGCCGAAAAAAATCAATGCAAGTGCAAGGTAATTACGCGTAAAAATTTTTGCGAACAGACACAACAAACTGAGTTTGGGCAAATGTTTAGAGGACGGGTTGGTTTTTTCCTTTTTCCGAAATGACAACAGACAATGGGAAATAGTGGCTGTTGTCGTTTTACCAGTTCCAATATCGGATTTATTGAGCTATCAAAGTGGTTTGAGGATTTTCCCAAAAACGCTAATTAAATTTATGGTAAAAGAAGGGCTGACATCTAATTTCAGTTTTCCAATTGGATTTTTTTTGAAAATAAATTTCCAGATTTCTGTAATTTTTTAAACCCACCTCGTTGTAATAAATTACATAGGTATTGATATGAGGTTTTAATCTCTGTTTAATGGCCATTTGTCTTCAAACAAAAAAAGAAACCTTCGGCTCCTGGGTTGTTGGGTTAGTTGGATAAACATTGGATTTCCTTTCCCAACCCTGCCCCTATGTGTATGTTGCACTGGTATCTTGAGATCATGCAAATTATTTTTTACTTGGAAATTGACCAATTTTTTCATATGGCATCAATTTGAAAAAAAAAAAATTAAAATAACAAAAACCTGAGATTCCTAAATGTGTTGGAGGGAAGGTGTTATTGTCGGATTTAAGTGGTTACCACCATTTATGACAGTTTGGCATAGTTATTTTTTTGTGTGCTTTGTTTTTGTTTTTCGGTGCATAATTTATGTTTCTGAGAGGGGGAATACCCTCCCCTCCCCCCCCTGTATCCCAAAAAAGGAAAGTATTACACAAAACATCTGTGACATGTTTATTTTTTGCCCAGACAAAGGCAATGCCGAATTACCAGCAACTACTCCGACGACAACATCGACGGCAACAGCAAAGATATGGCAAAGACATTTACAATACTTCCTTATTGCCATGCCTATGCACGATGCGGAGTGTTGACAACAAATTGGACCAAGTCGTAGACCAAGTTTTGTTTGTAGGTATTATTATGTGGCCAAAAAAATATAGGATAATCTAGCAATGCTCTGCAGAAATAATTTGTAAAATGAACGCGTGCCCAAAACCGGGTCATCAAGATTTTTTTTAAAAATTTTTGTGATCAACATAAAGAAAAATAATTGGACAACATAGTTTTGTATTCATAAATAATAAAAAAATTCACTAATACAGTGAAACACATACAGGAATACATACTACTACCATCAAATATTTCTCATAGGAGACTTTAAAGATAATGACAGGGCCATATTGCCACCCATTTTTTATGATATTTTTTATAGCTAGAAACTTGATTTGGCAGGGAACCCATAGTAGAATTTTGTGCTGAATATTTCTTTCCTTTAGACCTTCACCATAAAATTAGGTCTGTGTGGATAAACTGAAACAAATTTGAATAAACCTCAGGAAATTCTAAAAACAAATAACACAAAAGGTGAATTTTAAAGGGCCACATTGGTAAGGATATTTTTATGATATATGTTATAGCTAGGCACATGATTTGGCTGGGGACCCATAGTGGAATTTTGTGCTGAATATTCCTTTCCTTTAGATGTTCCTCATAAAATCAAGCCTAAGTACAGAAAATACGACAAAATTGAAGTGATATCTTAAATTTATCAAAAAAAAAAGAAAAATAAATAAATTGTGTTTTATAGGAGCCATATTTGGAGCGATATTTCTTTTATATATGTTATAGTTAGAGACTTAAATTAGTTGGGGACCCATAGTGAAATTTTGTCTAGAATATTTCATCCATTAGGATCCACTTCCTAAAATGAATTATAAAGGGAGAAACTGTCCCGAATTTAAAGATATCTTGAAATTACAAAAAAGTATGTTATTTTACAGAACCACATTTTCGGCGATATTTCTACGATATATATTGTAGCTAGTGGCTTCACTTGGTTGGGGACCCATAGTGGAATTTTATGTAGAATATTTCCTCCATTTATATCCCCCTTGTAAAATGAAGTCTATGGGGTAAAAATTGCACAATTTTGAAGAGAACCCTAAAAATTTTATTAAAAGTAATAAAAAAATAGATATTTTACAGATCGATATCGAGAGCTATATTTTTATAATAAATGTTATAGCTAGAGACTTCGTTTGTTTGGGGACTCATAGTGAAATTTTGTGCTGAATATTTCTTCCCTTTAGAATCTCCTCATAAAATGAAGCCAATGTTAAGAAAATGTGAAAATTTTGGGACGACCTTTTGGATTTTCAAAAAGTAATAGTTCATTTTTTAAATCAATATTGCCGCCAATATTTCCATGATATATATTATAGCTAAAGACTTTGTTAGCTTGAGGACCCATAGTAAAACTTTGTGTAGAATATTTGTTCCCTTTAGATCCTCTCTGAAAAATTAAGTTTAAATGGAGAAAATACCACACATTCGAAGAGAATCCTTAAAATGACCGACAAAATAACCAAAAA